GAGCCTGCCTCAGACTTAATGCCAAGTCTCCCATCACCAGACCGTCAATCCCTTGTTAGAATTTGTCTGCATTGCTGAACTACTTAAATCTTCACTCGTCTCTAGGAAGGGTTCAGTGTTCAGTTTTGGGCCCCTCACTACAGGAAAGACATTGCATTTCTGGAACGTGTTCAGAGGAGATCAACAAAGCTGGTGAGGGGTCTGGAGCACAAGGCTTACGAGGAGCAGCTGAGGGAACTGGGGTTGTTCATCCTGGAGAAAAGGACGCTGAGGGGAGACCTTATTGCCCTCTACAACTGCCTGACAGGAGGCTGTAGCCAGGTGGGGGTTGGCCTCTTCTCCCTGGTAATGGGCAATAGGATGAGGGGAAATGGTCTGAAGTTGCACCAGGGGAGGTTTAGGTTGGACGTTAGGAAAAAATTTTTCACCGCAAGGGTTGTCAAGCATTGGAAGGGGCTGCCCAGGGAAGTGGTGGAGTCCCCATCCCTGGAAGTATTTAAAAGACAGGTAGATGTGGTGCTTAGGGACATGGTATAGTGGGGGGATGGCAGGGTTAGGTTAACGGTTGGACTTGATGATCTTAAATGTCTTTTCCAACCTAAACGATTCTATGATTCTAAGGGTGAGCACAGCCCCCATGAGTGAGGTCACCCCCAGGCTGAGGGAGGCTCACTGCCACTTCCCCGGGGCACTCTCGGGCCATCAAGAGCTACACCCTTCCCTCCTTGGTGGCCATAAGCACCAGTGCAGCTTTTCTTACTGTCATACAAAACCTTTTTTCATCTTTTCTAATCCCACAACATTTCCTGGATTCTTCAGAAAAGTGATTAAAAAAAGCCCTCCCTAGATTTAGCACTAATGTTTACCTGAATCTGTGAGCCAACAAAACCCGGAACCTGGGGCAGGCAAACAGCTTCCTTTCCTTTTTTTTTTTTTTAAAAGGGTGTTTTAAACCTGAGACTTGCACCTGATCATTAAATTATCAACACTCGTCCTTTCTGCTGCTGGCTTGCTGTGCTGAAAACCTCAGCAAATGAACTCATCTCAGGATCACAGCCTCGATACCCCAGGTAGCACTTGCTCAGCTCTCGACCCCATCAAACTTCTGTGATGCATGTCTGTATTGCCAATATAAAAGAAACATTTGTTCCTAATGTGAAAAACTATTTTAATAGCCCTGAAACAAGATTCATAACCAGCTGATGGAACAAACCACGATAAGGAGAGTTTCTGCAAAAGCACTATTTCCCTGCAGAAGCCTTTGGAGAGGGAATCTGTAGGTATTCTTATTTGGATCCAAAGTCATTAGTGACCAAAAGGAGCAATGCTAAGGAAACCCAGGGATTCTCCTAGTTCTTGAAGTAAATCTGGAGAATATGGGGTCAAAGAGTCTGATACCAACTTCCAGAGTTGCATTAGGCAAATATTTGGCTCAGGGCAGCTCAATTAACTTTGGACTAAGGCATTTTCACAGAATGAAGGAGAGAGTAATAACTTTCTCTGTTACTGAGAAATGGAAAAAGGAACAAAACAGTTGGTGACAAATGGGGGAGGAATCCAAAACAAAATAAAACTCTCTGGACTCAAACTGAAACACTAATTAATGACAATGCGTAGCTACAGCTAGAAAAAATCTGGAAGACTGTGAATGCTTGTTAGCATTGTAGGCTCGGTCCAGTACATTTCCCGGGAGTCTTAGAGAATGATTCAACTATTAGACAAGCACTCGAAATCTTTAAACAATATTGAAAAAAAAAATTGCAGTTTCCAGAAGATGGCTTGTTTCTCCCCTTGTTATTTCAAGACCCCCATGACTGAATGCAGCTGGCCCTGGATCTAAGAAAAGAGACTGAGCTGTGTTTCTTCTCTGGTGTTTCTAAGCCTCATCTAGCATTTTTTGCAGTCTTCCACTGTTGTGCTGGCTGTGCACTGTGGTGCAGCGCCCAGAGGTGGGAGCAGCCATCAACTTGCAGTCTTCCACTGTTGTGCTGGCACTGGTGCAGCGCCCAGAGGTGGGAGCAGCCATCAATCACAGCCTAACAATTGCCATCCCAGCTTTAAAAAAGCCAAGGCAAGTGTATAGCTTTCCTTGCTCTCATCAACACGATCCCAATTTAGCTGTTAGCATACTCTGATCCTGATTTTTTTTTTTCTTTTGTACAGAAACTAGTTTGCTGCCTGTATTTTAATTAATGTAATTTGAGTTGCACAGGTAAGCCTTTGCAAGAAGCCAAAGTCAGTTGTAGCTATCCCAAATAGAAGTAGACAACAATGAGCTTAAGAGCCCCCGGAACAGACCAATTAAGTGGAGCACCCTTAACTATATGCACTGTAATATCAGTTCTAAGAATTTTCCTGAAAAAACCTGACTACTGACATAAAATACATGCTTCTCAAACTTTGAACCAAACCTTGTTCATCATCTGAGAAGTATCAGCAGTTGACTTCTTGGGGACTGAAGAAAGAAATGAGGTTCTGTCAGAGTGTCAAATTTGAACTTGATATAAGCAAAGGTAAATTCAGTGGAAACCCACACGGTTGTTCTTGCTGACATCTGATCTGAATTTCTATCAGAGGGCAACCTTTACTAATTTACTGCTTCTGTTTAGCTCCAGTTTTGATTAGGTAAAATGCCTTTTAATGCATAGAGATATGGTGAAACATTTATATAGGTCTACTGTTTATCTACATGTAAATATGTGCAAAATGTAGGTCTTAAGGTATCAGTGTTCTTTCTTCTAATTCATTTATTGTCCCATATTGGCAGCAGTAGAGTTTATTTCCATGTGTTTCCAAATTATTTGATGATACCAACTTCATAACTCTAAGAACAGCCTGTCTCTACCGATGTATATTAAGAAATCAGCTCTTAAGGGCTCTCCCAGGCCAAATGCTGCTCTCCGTGCTCCTGTGAATGTGCACAGACGTGCATTGGGGAACGCCAGTGAGATTATTCACGGCCGGGAAGCTCCTCGCACAGTGTCCTGCTAGAAGCTTTAAGCCCAGAAAGAACGACCTGGGTATATGTTCTCAAAACTGAAATGCTCATACTCTGTTCAAGTCTGAGGAACTATAGAATTAATCCGATTTAACCGAGCTATGAGAAAACTCTTCTTTTAGTGAGATCAAATACTTGACAGCTGACCTCCCAGGTCTGTTCCAGCCTGGCCGTATCTCCACCCCCAGCTTTACACAGCACACTTAGATCAACCATGAGCTAAAATATTGTGAATTTCTTTGATACTAAACTTCTGAAAATAGCAAGTCTTTCGATGTTTGTGACACAGATTTTCAAGTTGCCATGTGAATGCAACCTAATATGTTAAGTGAAGGCTCTCAGCTCTTACAGTTCAGTCTTCCCTTTACCCCAAACCCTTCTGTCCTCAGCTTACAGTAGCCCTTTTCAGAGGTGCGGGCTCAAACCTAATCTGCTGTGCACAAGTACAAATTGCTGTAACTTTTGAAAATAGCTGCTCCACACAGGCTTGGCACAGCAGCACATCTGTCTGCCGCAGAGTATTCCTTGCGTACTTACACCTTGAGGGCTAATACCAAGCCCAGTTACTAACCAAAACAAAACAAGGTAGGAGATGAGATGGTCTAGCAATGAGTCAAACTTATCAGTAGGAAACTCATTTGAAGGCATGTGGCACCTGACTCTCCAAGGGCCCCAACCTGCCACGTGAGACCCTTGCTGTGAGCCCAGCAGAGGCAGGTAGCACTTCATCACTCAGACACCAACACTCCAATAAGCTGATGTAAGTAAGTGAAAGCAAGCACATGGAGATGCTACTCACTAATTTCACATTGGTCTCCTTCATAGCCCGAAGGACAAATGCATTTTCCCAGATAGAAACACGTTCCTCCATTGAAACAGGTTGTTGTGCAGTTTGCTGAAACAAATAAAACAGGAACAAACTAAGTCACTAATATGAACTCAGTCTGACTTGGCCTTAATGCTTTCTGCTGCTCATCATAAACAAACATCGGGTAGGTTTAAAAAAGTTGCATTAACATCTTTCCACCTGGTTTACAAAAGAAGACTGAAACGTGGTTTTTCCTACATGATGCTTTACACGGGCACACACACCAGTCAGTATAGAAAGAGACAAGTGAACAACCCAGCAATGAGATCCCCGGGGACAGAATGTGTTGTGTCTTTATCAATCCTCACATGTAAAGCTCGTTGAAGGATCAAGTCTCTATTGCTATTGAAACTGCCAATGTCTGATAAAAGGAGCACAACCTAGGACTGGAAGTTCCTTCTACAAGAGCGTACTTCACTACAGTTCTTAATTAATGCCTTGACTAGGAAGAAACCTTTATAAGTTTTTGCTGTGTGGTGACATAGATGCAAACGCTGTCTCTCACCTGCTAAATTACTTACATTGTGTAAGACGCGACTTTTCAGCAAAGAGCTGGGATTCCCATTAATCCTTCAAGATATGGGGAGCATTTCATTACAGTACACTTTTGAAACATTTTTTAAATGAGGTAAAAGTCTCATCAAGGACTAGATACCAGTCAGAAGGACGTTGACAACAACAGTTGGTGCAAGCATACTGAATGGCCTAGGAAGTTTCCCTTTATTTTGCTGGAAAGTCCACTAGGACCTTTTGCGTTTAGTCTTTACTTCATATAGTTCTGCAACAATAAATGCAACGTGATGTGCTGTAATCTGCTCTGCCATGAGCAGGTCAGTCATATCTCTGCAGGAAACTACTTGGTTTTTTCTACATGGTAGCTTGGACTGTTCCAAATTACTGTCCTGAACAACTGATGGCTCCTTTTTATCCTTCCTGAGCCACAAAGCAGCAACAAAAAAAAATGAATAGCCTGCTTATTTTTTCATGTGTCCAGCTGCAGCGAATTAATGTACTAAATAATTAGCAAAACTAATTTTACTGCAGGAAACTAGAGTTCAAATAGAGGTAATTTTTTTTCCTAGGCCAGAAATATAAGTGACTTTTGTGGTAAGTCCCACAGCTCTCAGCGTAACTAAAGCGATTATCTAAATTACCCTTCACAGAGCTGGCGTATATGGATGCCTGCACATTCAGCTGCAAAAGCACTTCCAACAGCTCCCAGGTCGTGCTAGAGCATCTATTTGAAGAATCGCAAAACTTTTAAAACTTACTTCATCACTTGCCTGACTTTCCAAAATCCACTCCTAGAGGGAAACTAACTCAGGGGAATAAAGGGAGGCTGCTGAATATGGAGCCTGGGGGGGCTGGGCTGGCGGTTACCTTTCTCGCAGTTGATGCCGTAGAACCCCGGGGGGCAGATGCAGAGGCCAGGTGTAATGCAGAGCCCACCGTTCATGCAGCGAGGAGCACACAGCGCTGGGGAGCAGGAATAACAGAAAAAAAATCATCGCTGGTGTGATAGCAACTGGGTATTCGAACACATGGCACGTTGTCTCCTTAAGCTACTTTTCCTTCTGCTGAATGCAACAAGTCACCTTTGTAAAGTGTCTTTCTAAGTGGGTTAAATCAATTACATCTCTGGTTTGCATCTGGCCATTTGTACAGAGAGTTAATAAGAAAGTGAATATTAAATTATGTTCAGATCTGTGTGTAAGCAGAAATTGCCAGTTTAATTCCAAACTGGGGAGAGCAAAGTGCCCACCTACACCCTCTGGATATTTGAAGTCATCGTGTCCGTCCGTCCCCCCACCTATAACTGAACTCTGACGCTGCAGCTGGTGCCTCAGCTCTGCAGACAGGACTGTTGCTTTAGGGACTGCGCTCAGAGGTGTCAGCAATTCGGAGGGGTTCCCAGGCAGGCTTTATCATGAACCCTCCCTTCTCCCTCTGCATACCTGAGCATAAGCATGGCTACGTAATTTAGGCTAGGGGAGCCTGTCGCGCAGCCTGGTTTGGTGACCAAAATGTCCTGCATGCTCCCCGTGAACCTTCTCCAGAGCCCCTGTGCTCTCTCAAGCCTTCTCTGCAATTGTGGCCACCCCACAAGTTTCTCCCAGGAGGGCACATCAGGTGGCAGTGCTTCATTTCGTGGTTGCCCACAATTGGTACATGGAGCAAGGCTGGGTCCATACTACTGAGTTAAACAGCATCCAGGCATGCGGCCAAGTGGGGGCACAGCATCATCTATCTTGTGAAATTATTGGTGCTGATCCTGGCACGGCTTTGTCCCTGCCCAACTGGCCAAACCCTTGCAGGCACAGTGGTTTGCTCCAACTCAAGTCACCCCAGGGAAGATCTGCCACTGGAGGAGGTGAAGGCAGAGATAGGAAGAAAAGCTAGTTTCCTTGCCAAGTCACTTAATTTCTTGGTCCCCTGTTCCTGGAAATGTTGTTTGGAGCTTTTAGCCACTAATGGAAAGGAGGAGACTCTTTCCTTCATCTTCTCATCTTTGTTGTCAGCCTGCCTCCAAATTAGATCTCCAAATCAGAAATTACCTCCAAATAAACAAATGCTGAACAACAAAAGTCCTATGCTTTGTTTCCCAGCTAGTCTTCATTAGCAGAAGAATTTTATTTAACCTTTTTACCAGATGGGTTCCCTGTGATTAAGGATTGCTTAACTATCGTGTCAGTTTTTGTTAAACGTAATCTCTTAGAGAGAAAACATCTTTCTTGTAAGCAGTTAATGTTTCCATTAGACCATGGATGACGATAATAATTCTCTTACATGTGTGGACTCAAAATACAGGAAATCTTCAGAAAGGCCATCCTTTTAGGAGAAGCTATGTTTTTTTTGAGCTTATGGTAAAGAAGACAGTTGAGAAGATTTTTTTTAAGATTACCTTTCTCACAGTGAGGCCCGTAAAATCCATCTGGACATTCACAGACGTGCCTTTCATTGCAAAACCCTCCGTTTCTGCATCCTCCTGGACACTCCGCTTCATAAAATATAACGACAATCTTAATTGGATATTACATACTTTGGTTGTCAGCCAACTTTTGGTAGGTTCAATATATCCCTTTGACACAACAGTAAAAATATTTGCTTACAGACAGGCAAATGCTGGCAGAAATGGAAGTTCAGCTAAGACCTCCTCAAGAGAAATTAGTTTCTTTTTTGTTAGTCCACAAATAGAGGTTTCATCACGTGTTCAGACAAATGCACGATGTGCCTGTTGACAGACTGTGCATTTCCATTGCTCTGTTGTTCTGTAAGTGCATGGGTAATGAGGATGCTCTGCTCAGTCAGGCACTTTCTCCTCCACGTGGAAAAGAGCAGGCGGTGCAGGACTTGCATCGCTGGTTAGACCTGCCCTCCGTATGCAGGACCAGTTTCAATTTCTGCAGCCTTAAGTAGACTGCAGTGCAACTTGCATTGCATTAATTGCTACATCTGTTAGTACTGAGGTGACAAAGTGATGAAATCTGTATCCAAATGAAAGAGTCAGCTTCAAGGCTAGAGGAAAGAAGGCCAGCAAGGAAGATGAAAGCATTCCTGCACAGTGGTCCTATATCATCATCCAACTCATTCACATCTCAACTATTGATAAGACACTGGTTAAAGCATTTATCAATGCTGGCTGCATTATACAAGGACAAGAAATACCTCTGGGTACCATCACCATCCTCAAAACACCAGAGTCCATTGAACAAGAGGCAAAACAAATCGAACCCTATGGAACCCCATGAAAACATGACTGCTGGGTAGATTGCTCAAAAATACCTTCCTAGATCTCTCACAGAGGAGGCAGCAGGCAGGAATGGCTGCCTACTCCCATTAGAAAAGTGAACATCACTTGTGATCAGTGGTACCAGGGCCACAAGGCAGCTTTAGCAGAGTAGGCATGACCTGCTCATCTCAATGCTATGCTGTGTGACACTCCAAGTGAGAAGCTTCAAAAAACTCTGAGGTAGGCCAAAATTCAGAGAGCAATCTTATTGCAACCATCTCAACCCAGATTTGGAGGTCATCCATTAGACAGCAATAGGCATCATGTCTTTTTTTTTTTTTTTTTAAAGTGTAACAGTGCTGTAAACATCGTGACTGACAACACCTGCCAACAGCATCCTTACTTCTTCTCCATTGCCTTGTGACCTGATTTCATCAGGAAGCACTGGAACCTACCATCCATAAAGATGTACCATTGATTCACACCGGTTCCCAACTGAATAATACCTGAGTTCAAATTCAAGCCGTTGTAGCCGTTAAAGTGCAGTTAAGTGGTAAGGAGTAGCAGGATGTCTATAAATTCAGGAGGGTCAGGTTGCCTGACACATTTTTGTGGCCCACAGAGATTCTTTAAACTGTAACTCCTATTAATACAGAGGAAAAAATAACCTGGGACTTGAACAAATTTGAATGATTCTCCTTTCTTCAAATATTTGAGGCGGGTGATGTATCTGTTAGTTAGATTCACACACAAACTTCTGTTTTTGAAAATGTATCTAATAGGTGATTAGAGCCACAGGAAATGATGCCTCCTATAACTACGAGCAGTATTCTGCTGCACTCATGTTACAGCTCTTTATTTAGTGGGATGCGAAGGGCAACTCTGAGACTAAGCAAAAGGAAGCCAGCAGTGTGCCCAAGTGGCCAAGAAAGCCAACGGCATCCTGGCTTGTATCAGGAATAGTGTGGCCAGCAGGAGTAGGGAAGGGATCGTGCCCCTGTACTCGGCACTGGTGAGGCCGCACGTCGAACACTATGTTCAGTCTGGGCCCCTCACTACAAGAAGGACATTGAGGTGCTGGAACAGGTCCAGAGGAGAGTAACGAAGCTGGTGAGGGGTCTGGAGCACCAGGCTTACGAGGAGCGGCTGAGGGAACTGGGGGTGTTCAGCCTGGAGAAGAGGAGGCTGAGGGGAGACCTTATCGCCCTCTACAACTGCCTGACAGGAGGCTGTAGCCAGGTGGGGGTCGGTCTCTTCTCCCAGGTAACGGGTGATAGGATGAGGGGAAATGGTCTGAAGTGCCAGGGAAGGTTTAGGTTGGACATTAGGAAAAATTTTTTCAATGAAGGGGTTGTCAAGCATTGGAAGGGGCTGCCCAAGGAAGTGGTGGAGTCCCCATCCCTGGAGGTATCTAAAAGTTGGGTAGATGTAGTGCTTAGGGACACGGTTTAGTGGTGGGATGGCAGGGTTAGGTTAACGGTTGGACTTGATGATCTTAAAGGTCTTTTCCAACCTAAATGATTCTATGATTCTATGAAAGAAAATCTGATGTACTGGTCAGATGGCTGGATGCTGTGTACAACTGCCAAACAAACAGGAGAGGTGTAATTTTAAAATGCTCTTCCATCCAAGGCTATAGACACATGAAGCAAGAAGTGTTGCTTTAAAAGTAAAGCTGTTTGCAGCAGTAGTAATAGAGGTAAAGGCTTTTTTGTCTTACTGTGTTCCAACACTGTACTCTAAAACTCTTTCTGGAAATGCTTCTCTCTTTGTACACAAATGCAGAGCTGCTATTCATTACAGAAAATGCATGCTTAAATACATACCATTTCAAACAGAAAAATAGGAAAACATAATTTTTTTGTGTGGCCATCTTTTAGCCACAACAAAGCCTCTCCTCTCCCACAAAATTGCTCCCTTGCTCCCCTCACTTCCTCTGGCGGGGGCCCTTCTGGACAGCCAAGAATGACTGGAAACAGTGACCGGGGCCCCAGCAGGAGGAATTGGAGCTCCTCACCATGAACAATGTCTTTCAGGGGAAGGAAACTCACCCCTACTCTAACACCAACTGGTAGGGACATTCTATCCTTCTCAGCATCTGTCCCAAAACACTGTGGTGTCTGCCTCACAGGACAGAGGGCAGGAGTGGGGGTTACCTCAGCACACGCTGGAAGAGACGAGGTGAGAAAACTCCTCCTCTGCCCACCTCTAGAGTTTGGGAAATCATCCTCGCATCTCTCAGCTGGCTCTGGGAGCAAAGGACAGGGACAATAATCACTCCCAGCTTTCCTAAGGGGCGATATAGACTAGATATAAGGAAGAAATTCTTTACAATGAGGGTGGTAAGACACTGGAACAGGTTGCCCAGAGAGGTAGTGGAGGCCCCATCCCTGGAAACATTCAAGGACAGGTTGGATGGGGCTCTGAGCAACCTGATCTAGCTAGCGGTGTCCCTGCTCACTGCACAGGGTTTGGACTAGATGACCTCTAGGGGTCCCTTCCAACCCAAAACATTCTATGATTCTGTGATTCTATGATTCTATGATATGATGCAATACTGATAGATTGTTAAATATTACATCTCATATCAAAATAGTAACAACAACAAAAACTAATAGCACAGAAATGCTAACTTGGATGAATGCTACTACTAAACTGAGTTTGGAGCCCTCTCTGTTTAAGCTACATTTTTCCTCAACACGGACCTGTAACTGCTTTCCCCATCAGGTTACTCCAACGCTATTTCCAAAGTTTATTAAGTTCAGTATCTTTGAACTGAACTGAAAAGAAAAAGATAGCAAATGTTTTGCTGTATTTACATTAGACACCCAACTTCGCATGCAAGGTATGATTTTACTTCCACTAAGCCCCCATTTTCCTCCGTGTTTCTCTGCCCACTTCTCCCCTCCTCCACTTTCCCTGGGCTAATTGGCAGCAGCAAGGCTTCAAAGGAGACAAGCAGCTTTGCTATTTAGTTCTAGTGAGGTTTCAAAGAATAAACAAGTCCTGCTCCCACTGCTCGCTCTTTGAAGCCACCCTACAGCCGAGTAGCTCAGAGAAAAGAGCGCCGAGAAGAAAGCGTGGGACTGGGAATGAAGATTTAATAGGAGAAGAATAAAAATCTCACTCTTTGTACATCAGCCCTGCCATGGGTTAATTTGACACAATTGCACACGGCATGGGATAACTGCCTTATCTTACATACTGATTTTTCAATTTCCACAATCTCAGTTTAAAGTGATAATTACAGTTGTTTGTAGTGTATCAAATTAACCCAGAAAGTCTTATTACATAGTGTTTATGGTTCTTAGATTGGTTGATTAAACAGATTCCCTCCCTTCCAAGTAAACACTGCAATAACTTCATGGTGCCCTTCTACCAGTGCATTCCCCCGTGTGTTTACTGCTTGATGACTGCAAGTATTGAGGGCCAGCTTCCACCACCTTACCTGTACCCAAACCCAAGAGGTTGCCATCTGAGCTCCAGAGAAGGTAAAGCCAAATTTTTCAAAAATGTTCTGATTTAGGATTTTAGCATTCAGTTTGTACATGCAAGTTGAGATTTAAGGAACTGTTGAACTGTGGCCACAAACAGTATTTATTGAAGTCAGCATCCCCACTACAGATCCCAGAAGTTCAATTCCCCAAATTATGTACCACTTCTGGAAATGTTAGCCTCAGCTTGTTTTCACAGGACTAGCTCTCCTCCAAGCACCTCAAATCATTTGCCAATGGGTGCTTCTGGCACGATACATTTCTGTCAATGTCCTTGATGTGCTGAGCTGTGAACGGGAGGAGAAATGCCTCCAACCCCGTCTGCTAAGGGAGACATAGTTGATAGTAAGAAAAGGGTTAGTAAACGTGTAGTAAATGAACAGCAAATCCACAGACAGAGCCAGAACAACCTGGAATTCACCACCATTGCTACACATTGTGTGAGCACTTTATTTCCATCTTCTCTAGCCGTTCTCCTGAATGAAACATAAGAAAGTTAGGTGACCAGCTCTAATGGTGCTTCAGCATGTCCTCATGTTACCTTGCTGACAGGTTTTAAAGAAGATGGCATTCTGAGGAGTCTGCAGAATAATATTGCCTTCTGAATTCATTATGATCACATTCACTTCAAATGCAGCGACTCCATCTTGTTTTCCAAGGCAAGGAAATCCAACCTGAACGACTTAAAAGGAGAATAACAACAATATTTATATTTACATGCAAATATATCTATATACCTATAAAAGCACACATCAAAATACTAAAAAATATAAATAATATTTCTATTTAAACTTTAGAGTAGTGCCATTGATGAAAACCTGTAACACAGTGATGCACAGATCACCTTACTCATGGGCAGCCCCAGGACTGGAAGCACAGCAACACAGGAGATGAGCTGGCGCTCATTTACTGACACAACCCCAACAGTCCGCAGCACAGACAGCGATCTTAACACAAACATACTCTTGGCTGCAGACAAGGCAATTACTCATGTGGAGATAGCTAAGGATACACCAAAACAAGCTGGAAGCCTATATTTAATTTTCTAAGCTGAGTTGATCACTTCTGAGTCTAAATTTTGCAGGGTTTCACACAACTCCTGCAAAAATACCTTACACATTTTGGAAAAGAAGTTACTTTTTCTGTTTTGGACATTGCAATTAATACTTAAATAAAACACTGATTTAATCGAAACTTACTCCACGAAGTGCTGGCAAGATGGTACACTTGATAAAGAAGATCATGGGTGCAAATATTTAAAAAGAAGACAAAGACACATCACTCTGACAGAACTTGTTAAGTGCAGCAATACTTGGAGATTGCTTTTCCAGGAAATGTATTCAAACACTTTTGAACTATAAAGAGTTTAAGTAAATAATAAAGGCCAGTAATCTGGAGTATTTTAATGAGGAAGCAAGCCTGATACCTCAGAGCTATGGAATGCTCCTCTGTGATTGTCACAAGCGGTCTTAAATAATCTTCAGATGAAACGATATTATCTCTTTTCTTCAAAATTGGCTCTTCCTAGCTGTTTTATAAGTTAGATCCAGCTAACAGAAATTGTTCATTCATTTCTTGTGAAGCTGGCCTGAGATTTCAGAACCAAATATTGAGCTAACATTTGGTTTGTTTTAAATTGCTTGTTGTAAAAAGTTTTGCAAGTCATAATTGGGCCATTTTTGTTATTTGTTGCCTTGGTAGAATACAGAATAATTTATCGTTGAAACATGTTCTGCTTCTGCTGAGTCCTACAGACTGAAAGGTCTGTTGCACCTTTCATTATAAAGCAATTTCACTGTTGAAGCACTTTCACACCGATCTTTTAAAAGACCGTTACAGAAAGGATGTAAGCATGTGGTAAGAAGGAAACTCATACAGTGGATCAAAGATAGTTTAAATGCAGTAAACTTCTTAAACTGTTGTAACCTTCTTACAGAGCAAGTGCAAGAAATCAGTGCTTGTACTGGGATGTGTGTGACTTAGCTGAGCAAATTCTTATGGGGAGGAAGGTATGGCAGAAGTTGAACGATGGCACTATAGTCATATCTAGACTTCATTAAATCAATAGCAAACCCCTGACCTCCCCTGACATATGGCTGGGGGTTTAAATGCCTAGGGCAAAGACCAGGCATGCATCTCTGAGGGCTAAAGTCTGAGGGGACAGGTTGGAAGCCCCTTATTCCAGCACTCCCCACCCTGGAAGCATCCATCTTTTTGGACTTCCCACATGTCTGAACTCCAAAGCACACAGAAATGCAGTAAAGGACCCCCCGTGAGCAATGAGCACCCAGATCCCCACTAAGATCTGTGGTGTTCAGAGCTGAAATAAAGTCCCTAAACTCTGCCTCAATCCCTGCCTTTTTATGCCTGTTGGAATTATGCTAAGCATGCAGTAACAGCACTACAGTCAAAAAAAAAGCACAGAGCAAAAGTTCCTTACATCCAGAACCATGGCCGTGAGCTCCTGTGGGCTACATAAGCACTGAGCAGGGCTGTGGCGGGGCAAACCTCAGGTGTGGTCCCTGCTTCCCAAATTCAGGATGCAGTTTACATTTGCCCATCACTGGCCAAAAACAAGGACAGGGAATCACAGCTCAGGATTTCTCCCTGCCAGCCATCATCCCGCCACAGAATCGCAAGCCACAGAATCGCCTCTCCTGCAAATTTATATTTCTGCATCCTCTGGAGTGCTTGCACCCAGGGTTGCAGAGCAGATGGCTCTAGCAGGTGGGAGGAAAATTTAACTGTTTTGAAAAGGAACCTAAGGAAACCTAGTGATTTATATCTAATGTAATATTAGCTGGCAATTAGAATGCGTTCCTGGGATCTGGAGGAAGTAGGTTTAATCCCTTTTGACTGGGAGCTCATGCCTTTTCCTTCTGTTCAGGAAAGCAAGGTTCCCTAAGTTGTCTCCAGTAGAGGCAGGTTGAGAGTAACTCCTGTGTATCTGCACAGCTCTTCAAATTTGCAGGCAATTGCTTTACCCACTTGGTTAATATGCAAAAGCCATCACCAAAAGCCACCTACAGTCTCAGGGGTGGGATTGCTTAAGGGACATCTCTGAATTACCAGTCCCCGTAGAAGTGGGCATGCAGGGTCTGGAGAAGAGTGGGAGTCCATACACAGCCCTGCAGCCCACTGTCCCGCTCTATCAGCATGGCAGAGCAAGCACAGATGCTCCTGCACCCAGAGCAGGCTTCAGCTTCTCCCACCGAGCCTGGAGAGAGTTTCAGCACCGTTGGTTGCTCAGCACGCATGTTTTAATGTGTCAACACCAACAGTGGGCAGGGAGAGGAGGTGTCCTGAGCCTGACCAGTGGGCTGGGGGCCTGTGTGTCCTGCACGAGGCGGTGCCGTGTCGGCAGCCTGGCACATCAGGTTGCACCAGTGGCACTGGCACAGCACTGCACCAGTTGGTGCAAACTGGGACAGGAGGGACCAGCTCAGGTCACTTAGGGGGCCAGCTCCACAAGCCACTGCATTTCTTCTGGGTGCAGACCAATAGCTGGTTTGACCTTCCTCAGTGTGGTGCTCAAAGTGTTAATCACTGCCACTACCAAAACTGCTTGACTTTGTTTTGAACTTGCTGACCTCCGTTTGAATCACTGGATTTTTGCAGGCCGTCCCCTGTGAAAAGAGCAGCCAGCCTCTTTTCCCTGGACAGGTACCCACGCACCATTCAAACATCTTTTGGACAAGCTGAGTAGTCCTAGCTCTTTAAACTCTCACTGGACAGCATCTTCTCCATCCCTCTCACCATGTATTAACATCTTATCATGTGGCTAGGTGCAACAATACCTGTGTTGTGAGCGTGAAATTGGGTAGCAGTCCTGGGATTGGGGGATGGGATTTTCAAATAAGTCTAAGGAACCTAAGTGGTTTAAATCTAATTTAAATTTGAGGATAATTTGATGCTTCATCTCATTAAGGACCTACTGGATCAGAGAAAGTTGAGAGAAGGACAAGAAGGCTGCATCCAATGAGGAGCAACTCAGTAGGCTGCGACTCTTCAGCCTGGCAAAGAGAAGAATTAGGGGAAATATAACGGACACCTACAAAATCATGACTGGCATGAGTAGGACTAACAGTAAGGATTGACTGCTGTCTCTACCAGTACAAGAACTAGTGTCCATCAGATAAAGCTGTTGTAGCCAGACTTGAAACAGCAACAGGGGGATCTTCATGCAAGGGGAGGCAGTGAACTCCTTCCCAAAGCCATTGAAGACACCAGAAGACTATATGGACTCAAGAAGAGCCTGGATAAGTACTGGAAAGAGAGATTTGTAATCCATGTGGGGTTATAAAAAAGACAAATCAAGACTCAGGAAATCCTCTGAGCTGAAGCTAGTCAGAGCTGGGAGGGTAAACAGAAGTATCACATATGCTTGCCCTCCCCTTGCTCTTCCACAGGTCTTATGGCCATCATTGACCATAAGACAAAATGCAGGCTAGGCAGGCCTTGAAGCGCTAAAGCCATCCTTATGCTTTATTGGTTATAGGCAAATACCCTCAAAGAAGTTTTAAAAGTCCACTGATTTTGACAAGACCACTGAGTTCAACTCCCTCTGAGTAAGATATGAGGAAGAATCCTCATTCTACTTTCCCGCTCTCATGTCTAATACAGCTGTCTGTCCTCTTTTATTCCTCCTTAATTGTCTTCATTCTAATCTTTCAGGCTAAAATAATTTTTCAAGAAATAACTTAAGACTCTTGATTTGCTATTAAATACAAGCTTGCGACTGAACAACTTCTGATATGCATATGTGTAGAAAAATTATTTGGCAATGCAATAAATTCAGCCAAACTAGACTAGTCAGCACAGTTTTGTGAACATATAAATTATAGAAATAACTACAAAGTAGCCACCATTCACTATTTTTATAGCATGTATTTATTTAAGGCTACTTAGTTCATTTTGGCCAGCTAGCAGGCAGAGTAATAAACCCACCATCGTGCTGGTGGCTCACTGTTAAATAGCGCACGTGCTTCAAATACCATACATGTACTGATTATCAATTGCTGTTAAGCACTGGCCTCACTATAATGCCAAACAGAACTTAAATATGGCTTATATATACTAAATGCAGTGCTCCATGGGAGGCAACACCATGGACTTGCCCATATTAGTCCTGGAACTGAGGTACCAGTGCTGTGAACAGGGTAAGACCTTTTTGGCTTTAATCACACCTCCTATCACGATGGTTAACAGACCTTCTGCTGGAACTGTGAGATCGCATCCCCGGCCTCCCTTCACTTGTAGATCATATGTTTTCCTAAACACAATCAGAAGGGGTTCGCTTTGGTTTAGCCTTTCTAGATAGTTAAAAATTAAATGAGAAAGTAGCTTAGAGTAGAGGATGCTGAGTGCAGAGTTTCCCACATATCTCACCTGCTTTATATGGAGGTGGAAATAATCTCAATGCTCAACAGGAATTTTGCCTTTGTGACCTTTTTAGTTACATTTAGAGTAAATGTCTTTACTTGCCAATTTATTTGGCTTGCAATCAATTAAATTACAGCAATTACGGTGCAAATATTATATCACTCTTCATCCAAATCCATTTTCAGTACCACTCATTCAAACCACAGCAAATGGAGAGACCAATCATTAATGTTAAATTCCAGGTCCCACAGTAAAAAGCTGTGCTGCAACATTACTTCGACGCCATTCTACTACAAGCTGAAAACAGAAGATATCAAACACAAACTTTCACAATTTATACATTAAAAAAAGAGAAGAGAAAGAAAGACCAGTCAAAGATGTAAACCTGTGTATCTGTGCTACACTTGGATCCACATGCAGCCTCATCCTCTCCTTCCTTTTCTCACTTCTCTCCCATTTTTTCCCATGTGGTCTTAGGTTTGCTAAGGCTGATCATGAAACCGTGATCACTAACACACGACTGTCACCCAGATGTACATTTCCGCCTTTGTGCCAGAGACAACCACATATTAGCCCTAGAACAGATTGTGTAGACTGTTATCCATCCACTTCAGAGCAAAGGGGATTCAATAACCCCTCATGGGAAGCTGGTTTACCCCACCCGGCTCACTGTGCACCACCGTGCTTCTGGAGCACGTGTGCTGGCTTGGGGTCAGCCTCTGCTGTGGAGCTACAAGCTCCAGTGAAGGACTGAGAATGCACAAGGAAGGGAAAAGCGGTAAACGATAATATCCTAAACTAGAACTTGTGTCTTTGAGCTGAACGTCAGGTGACAACAGCTGACCCCAACTGAAAGTAAAACGTCCACAAACCGCAACCTCTGAGAAACAGAATAATTTGATAACCCTTCCTCACAGTGATCAAAGATTTTGCTTTCCAAAAGCTGCATGACTTGAGTAATAATATTCATGCACGTGAATCTTAGGCAACAATTTTGCACAAGTTTCTGCTGGTTTATCTACACATAAAAGCTTCATGTGGCTTGGCTCAGACAAAATACGCTGCTGTAGTCAGGCAAGGCACTCACAAACTGTTCAATGTCAAGCACTGTGGCAAGCATTTCTTTAGCAATAAACTTCAGAACTGCAACTCATAGTAAGACATTTAGACTTTACTGGCTGTGGAATATTTTTTACTGGAACACAATTTATTATATCAACAGCACAAACCTGATGCTTTATGAGGAACTGTTCCAAGCAGAGGGATATTTATGGTTGGATCTGCCATTATGCCTTTATCCAAAGAGCGCAAAGACAGGAACTCATAGAAGTACTCAGCCTATGACAAAATAAATAAAAAATCAGTATGTATTATAATTGCATTCATGGAAGCAAACAATTTAGCATATAAACTACAGCAGAAAATGCCACACTTTTCATTATGCCATTCACTGGATTTGTTCCCATTATTTCCTTGAGTGCTTATTTACCTAAGCATAATTTTCAGATAATTTCCTCTTATTTCAGAGATTGCAAGTGGCCACACAGTAATCAGGACGCAGCATAATAGCACGGAAAATGGCATGCATACAATGAACAAATGTTATACAGAGAACCCACACGTTTTATCTGGAAGGCCACAAAAAATGTATGAACAGCAAGTGAATTCTTAAAGCTGTGTGTTGGGCAGAATCCTTCTGGAACTGACTGGTGAGCCTGGATGATCTGCCTGCACCACAAGCACAGCTTGAAGGACATAACACATATGATGTGACTGTGGCGTGAGAATATCCGAGCTTGCTCTTGGTTGATCTGCAGCGCCCAGCACATTGCCTTGGGTAAACAGTGCCAGGCCATGAATATCCACGTTACTGGAGTGCTAGGGCACATATCTTGCTTACAGCTCTGACACCGCCTTGTTCAACCTCAGGTCATTAAATTGTTCCAAGGGTGGGGCTGAGACCTTTCCTGCAGAGTTGGCTTCATGTCACTCATCATTAACTGCAACATAAATGATTTGTTTTGGCGATCCCCAGAAGGCCTTGCCATGATTTTAAAAATACTTTCCACTGCTTTCATCCTACTCCCGATAGGTACCTGCATTGTGGCACAGATTGTAGGCTTTGATACTTTCTTCCCTGGGACCCTGGCCTCTCTGTTGAGTCATCTGCTCAATATTTCTTCATATTCGATGCAAAGTGACGCCATGCGTCTGCAGCGTAGCTGTACATGCCATGTACATCTGAGATGTATGCATCTTAGCATAGACTGGAGGCTTCCACTACTGTCAATGGCACAGCTGCAGGTGTGCAAAGGCAGTGGGAATGAAGCTTTCCCTGAAGCCTGGCTTCTCATTTACCCTGAAGCACATGAGGGATTGCAGGTAATTGTACCTGCTGCTCTCAGAAAAGCACCTGAAACCTTAGCATGGGCACTGGCAAAAATGTGTCTTCATCCAGCAACCTGCTGATAGTAGACAGTATTGTTATGTCTGCTTTTTAGCTAAAATAGTCAAATAAAGAGAGATTAAAGCCAAAATTTTATGAGAACTTTGGGCTGATAAATGGTAAATTTATGTGTACCAGATGGTAGTCAATGTCCTTAGCCAGAAGACTGTCCTTTTTCTCCTGTAAATATCCTGGCTCCCTAGCACGAGGAAGACATGGACTTACTGGAGTGAGACCACTGAAAGGCCACAAAGATGATCAAGGGACTGGAGCATCTGACATACAGGGAGAGGCTGAGCAATCTGGGACCATTCAGCCTGGAGAAAGCTGAGGGCGATTTAATCAATGCGTATAAATAGCTGACAGGGGTGGTGTAAAGAAGATGGAGCCAGGCTCTGCTCGGCAGTGCCCAGTGACAGGACAGGAGTCAATAGGCACAATACAGAAAACTCCATCTGAACCTGAGAAAACACCTTTTTAGTGTGTAGGTGACTGAGTACTGGCATGGGTTGCCCAAAGAGGTTGTGGAGCCTCCATCTGTGAAGATATTCAAAACCCAACTCAACACAGTCCTGGGCAAGCAGCAATAAGGTGACCCTGCTTGAGCAGGGGTGTGGACTAGATCATCTCAAGATCAGGTTGTCTGGTTTAAGGTCAGCCTCAGCCCTTCTGCAGTGTTGTGCTCTGCTAACTTGAGCAGAAGCCCTAGCAGAATGCAAGAGACCATCTCCCTTCAGCTCCTGGTGACACCAGCAAAGCGCTCGTGAGCTGGGTAGAAAAGTCGGTCTGAAATTCCTGATCAGCCCTGGCAGGACATCCACCTGCTCTGTGGGGACAGCAAAGAGACCCCAAACAGCATGCAGGGGCTACATGCCGCATGGACAATCTTCAGAGGGTGTTGTGTAGGCACAAAGACCTCAGAGGAGGACTCGCAAAACAACTGGGAAGGAAGCAATGAAAGTTTCTAAGGGTGGGTTAAACACATGGAGTATATGTGGGAGGGAGAGGGGACGTGGAGAGAAGCAGTAAAACAGGAGATGAAAAGTGAAGTCTGGGGTAATGTTCAAAAGGCTGCTTTTAATTAAAGACATTTTTTTCCAATACAATATACCATGCCAAACTACGAAAACAAGCCATAAAGTCAGATTGTGAACATTTTTGTTTTCAAATAAAACTTTGGTTCAGAAAAATTATTATATGTCTCCACACATCTATAGAATAGTGCAGTGAGTGAGTCAATGCTGTACTGTCTGTTTCTCATTGGTTAGCTTTGATGTTTGGTTATATCTAAACCAGGTCATAATGGGTTGGGATATTAAAACATTATGTTCTTAGCATTCTAGTAAACAACAACTGGTAACTAGACCAAATAGCTCCACTCCCATATTTCCATTCCAGCCATGCTGTTGTAGCAGGTCGGATTGTGAGCCAGAGCCCTGATTTGTAGGAAAGGAACGGGAATCCTATTTTCTAGAGTCGAAATGATGCCTAAGGACAAAGACAGAAAGAAAGTTCTCTGTGGGAAAGGGGACTGATTGCTGCATGAGCCACAATACTCACTGCCTTTCAAGGAAGGAATTCCTCTAACCAGAGTAGAGGCATAGCAGCAATTAGTGCCCAAGGCAGGAGTACGTTCTGTTCACATGTTAAAAAGATGGGAAGAGACATTGCACAAGCAAGAGGCTGCTCAGGAGGAAAGCCACCCATTGCACTGGGGGGGAGATACCTGCTCTCCCCATTTCTGTACAAAGGTTTGTACACCTGCTGAGCTGACAAAAACTGAAATTCTTGAAATGATAGTAAGAAGAACTGAAACACCTCAGGTAGATCCCGAAAGCATGACTTCAAAGTTACGAAGCCATGTGCTGCAGAGTACGTTTGCAAATCATGAGTGTCAGACTGAGTTGGTTAAATTTTGATATTAAAATTGCATACAAAAATCACAATGTAGAGAGGCTGCACAGTGGAGCAGAGTAGCTTGACTCCTCAAACCTGTGAATCTGAAACAAGATTTGGCTGTCATAAAACCTATCTATTTGGAAAAAATCTATCTTGACACAATCCCGACATCCAGTCTCCAGCATTGTCCTGCTGTAATTTGAGTTGATTGCCAATTAACGTGCATTAATCATCATGACTGAAAAGCAAACAACACTCTCGGCAAATATTTACCATGCTCCAGCCTAGCATGAAATCTAGTCATGGTGGCTAATTGAAGAGATAGGTCCATGCAATTAAAATATTGTCTAGTGACTACCAAAATTTGTGCTGTAAGTGGCCATTGTGAGTGACCTGGTAGTGGGAACAAAATTTCCTTTGACACTGTTGTGAGAGAAAGGGGAAAAACCCATAATCCCTTTTAGATTATAAAAATATTTTCAATACTATTTTTTTTTTTTTAAGCCAGCCTATGAACTGTCGGATAAATGAGGGTCAAAATTTGGTACTGAAGCTAAATCTTAGAGGAACGGTGTTATCAGAGGTGATGGAGGAAATGGGGTTTGAGATAAGTTGTTGATTGTTGAGAATTGCACACTCTGCATGCACAGAAGACTTTTTGGTTTTGGCTTGACTTCAGGAAGCACCCAAAGAAGAACATGCTTTACTTTTGTGTAAAAAGACTTTGTTTGAGACCCTCAGAACCTGAGGCAGGGGCTCCTGCAGACCTTGTGTGAGCAGTCTGGGGACTCGATGCCTTCAGGCAGCAGGTAGCCCCACGCAGCTGCCCTTTAACAGTTCCCCATGTGGGTAAAGCCCTCAGCAAAAGGAGGAAATTTTGTTTTAGGCAAATAATTCCATGGTCAGGATTAAGTTTTATGGACTTTAAATGGCCGTTTTCTATAAATCAGAGGAATTTAAAAGGTTATAAAAATAACGAAGCCCTCTAACAAGTATTGTAGCAAACATCTGTCGGCAGTTTGGTTTTAAATGATACACACTTAAAATTCCTACAGAACTCCACTCCTCAGTACAAGATCTACTGCATTAGAGTTTGCTTATCACTCAGATGCCATGTTACGCCTACCCTGGTTTTGTTTCAAATTTAATTAAAGCACTCACAGGATCGTGCTTTACGTTTTCTTCATTTTCACATGAAAGATGTAGGATTAGAAGTAATGGTAGTACCTGAAAGCGAAGCAGAGTAGCTTAAACTGTTGTATGTCACAGCTCAATAACCTAATGAAATCTGCAGCCTTTCTAACAAAGAAAAGGGAATGTGTGTTAGCCTTCCAAGTAGATGTAAGAAATTAACTGTATTTTCTTCTCATTACTTTAAAGAAATCAGTGCTGAATGTTCTGTTACCAATTAAATGACAAATATACCCTAACACCAATTTTCTACATTTAAAGAAAGAAACTCATCAAAAAAGTTCCTTTTCATCCCAGATCCATGGCTATTTCTAGCTATGCATAGACTAGAAGATTCTAGCATGCATTATCCAGAGCAGATGCTCATAGCTGCATATGCCATAAATAAAATCACAACGTGAGGCAATGTATGTGTTTGTTAGGTGTTTACAGCATGGACCGTTGCTTCTCCAAGATATTAACTGCATTAGGTCAGAGATGTTGGTCCATCTATGTTCCAGGATGAAGCATGAAGCAAAATTAGATGAATTTCAACAAAGAGGGGAGGCCGTCGCTGTACCACACATACCAGGCTATGGAAGGAGTCTGGCCAGAGTATGAGTATGTGTGTCAGCAGCACATTTTATTACTGCGGTGCAGTCTAGACACTGCTGTAATGAACAACACCGTGATGCCTCCGTAGACAAGCAGATAATAAACTGTCTGCCTACAAGGTTTTATTTTTCTGCTAGGGAAGGCAGCTTTGCCTTACCTGTGAATTGGTCCTGTCACAGAGTGGGTAAACCATTTTTTTGCACCTCAG